TCAGCAGGTTCTGACCAGTTCTGGAGAACCGGTAGTGGAAATTTTGAGTAGTTTGGAGAACCGGCAAATACCACCTCTGACTGGAGATTTACAGTATCCTTCCCCTGCCACGCCCATCAAACCATGCCCACAGAACTGGTAGTAAAAAAATTTGAATCCCACCACTGCGTCAGCCCAATTATTCTGGCTGATGGGGTCCAGGAGAAGGGCCTTCTCTGTTGTTGCTTCTGCCCACTGAAGCAACTTCCACGCCCTCCCCCATGTGAAGTTGGCCCCAACCCATAAGGGCCTAAAGATGTGGTTTTGCTAGTCGGCTTGGGGCCCCAGTGGAGGAACAGCGCAATGGATGTGGTTGATTAACAACAGATCCCAGATCTCTCCCTACTCTGCCACCCCTCCATGTGTCCTTGGTTTTAATGTTCCATTTTAACTTTAAATTTTTTAGCTTATATGGAACTGTAAGTCACCTAGAGTTATAGTAAGATAGGCAGCCAATAAATTTTATAAATAAAATAAAAATACCAGTTTCATGGCATCATCATAATTTTATCACTTTACAAAAAGAAGTAAATCATATGGTTTTTATTAGCTGCTACTGATAAGAATGTATATTATGTCTTATTTACATTTGATTTCTAATTTCCAGTTGACCTCATGCAGGGACAGCCAAAGGGCTGGATGTGGCTCAGAGCTACAAAATGTCCAGGTCTGAAATACTGACATGTTTTTTGTGAAGAAAATTTATGATACTGAATTGTTCTTAAGCCAGCCACAAGCCAATTTTACAATATATTCCCTGCTGCAGTGGAAGAAAATATTTTGTTCTCTCTGCAGAAACCAAGTCACAGAAAGTGTATCCTTGTCAATGATTGCATGTGGAATTCAAGACCTTTAAAAGACACCCTAAATCAGGGCTTATGCAGTGCCTGTACTATAAGTGTCACACTGTAATAAAACTTTTTCTATTACCTCATGATTAAATTTAGATGGAAAATGAGCTTGCGGGTAATATAATTCCTTTCAAGTAGTTGCCTGTATGTATTTTGTATGTGTCTTGTGAGAACATGGAACACCATAAAAATTACCCTCCCCCCAAAAAAAGTAAATACAAAAGCTATCTTATAGCCATTAAGAAGGGAAAATGTTCTCTACAAACTCTTTGATGAAATTTGATTTTCAAAAACAGGCTTCTAACCCATTCCTGCCAAAGGTACAATAGTTTGGCTCCTGTGTGTGCCCAGTTTTGATAGCCAAATGTTAAGTCTTGCCCTCAAATAACATTATCTTTCTATATTGTTACCCAATTCGTGGCTCACATGCAAACCTTTAGATTAAGTTTGGGAACCGAAATTGACTAAGCAAAACTATCAAGCTTGCATTAGTGACAGTTGCTTCCAAGTCAGATGAACATCTTTCACTTCATTTTACTTCCTCTGAATACAAAATGTCAGGTTTTATAAATTGGGAACATATTAATCTGAATTCCCACGAGGGACGAAAAGACCAAATCTTTGTGTGAGGCTCCAGCAGTAGTGAAAACCTGCTAAATCCAAGAACAAAGATGTTGGGAAATCTCCAGAATTAGTGAAGCAGCAGAGCTCCAGCAGAGATGGCCTGAGCTAAAACAAGCAGGCACACATATACTTGGAAGCAGATATCTCACTCTCCTCTAGCCAGGAGGCACTATAAAACCAGAAACATAGGTAATTCTTCTTACAGTCTCATTTAGTGACCGTTCAAAATTACAACGGCACTGAAAAAACTTTATCACATCGCATCCTCATGGTCACATGGTCAAAACTCAGACTCTTGGCAACTGACTCATATTTGTGACGGTTGCAGTGTCCCGGGGTCATATGATCACCTTTTGTGACCTTCTGACAAGCAGTCAATGGGGAAGCCAGATTCACTTAACAGCGTCACTAACTTAACAGCTGCAGAGATTCACTTACAGCCGTGGCCAGAAAGGTTGGGAAATGGGGCAAAATTTGCTTAACGATTGTCTCCACAGAAATTTGGGGCCCAACTGTGGTTGTTAAATCGAGGACTGCCTGTACACTTTTTCGTATTGGTTGCTAGAATGTTATCTCTTCTCCAGTAAAAGTAGCTGTTGGTATCATGAGCAGATCCATCTAATTCTTCTCACACCCTTCAACTATCCAATTGCTATAACCAGCCTCAGCGTGTTAGCTGTACCATGCACATATAAACTTCATTGCCCTTCCTGATCCAATGATTTGAGACATTCAATGTTCTATTTCCTTTACCAGCCACATCCATGACCTGCAGCAACCACAATCCAGGTCTTCGTATCTACTCCAAGTGATGAACTACTCCTACTTTGCTAATATTTGGATCTTTGAATATGAGGGGCCTTCATGGTATTGTCCTCACTGGAGAGAAGCCTCAGATCCAAGTAAAAGTCAGTTGATATGTAGAATAACAATATCTACATTACCTGAATGCTGATGAAATGCAATAGGGAGTGCAATGATGCCATTTATGTGTTCTTGGCTGCTATAATTATCTGGCTAAAAGCACTGCAACCACGCAGGGAATCATTTCACTCAGAACAATTTCTACACTCCAGACAAAAGCTAAAGCCAATCAGCTTTATTTCAATCAGTTTTTCATGTCTCCAAAAATGAAGACAAATGCAACTATTGTAGGAACTTCATTTTTATTTGCCATTTGCCAAGATGCTGCCACCTTCTGGGAAATCACCTTGTTATCAGGGAATACATTGATGTTGGTGCCATCACATTTCTTTTTCTTTCCAGTTTATATCTGAAATTTGATCTGCAGAGGATTTCTTCCCAAAGTTTTTTAAGAGGGTTATCTTAAAATTCATGGTTATTTTGTGTAAATGGTCTTCACAAAATGACGGTTTATGATCTGTCACAAATATATTTAGAACCACACATTCCAAACCACTGGTCAAACCAAACCAGTCATCAAACCAACCCAAATAAAAGCCAAATGCAGTACAGACCCCAAAGATGGAAAAATGGTGAGTTACCTAATTCTTTCATTGATTGGGAATCATTTGGGCCATTATATTCCCCGAGACAAGTTTCTTTATGGAGGCCTCCTGATGCCTTTATGGAGATTTCCATGTTATTGTTTGGCAACAATACATGAAAGTTTGCCCCTTATTTTATTCTAGTAGAATTCTTTAGTTTCCTTATTTAGTCTGCAGCACAATGACTTCCCTCTGAGTACTAGTCAAGCGTTCTACAAATTGGCCAAACCAGCCTCAATCCCAGTGCTAAGTGTTGCCACCTGGCAAAGGTTTCTAGTGGTTTTAGGGTTAAATAAATCATGAAATCTTGAATTCCAAGGAAGCAAATCTGAACTAAGAAATTCAGTGTTCTTACATATTTGGCATCATGTAAATGGCAGACAAACCCAATTCAATGAATAGGATTATTCCTTTGTTTATTTGGTTTGCATTGTTATGCAACTCATACATATTTAAAAGATTAACTACTGCCATGGTAAAATGCTAGGATACCATATTTTGGCCTTAAATAGAGCACAGATGAATTGTGTGTGTGTCTATCCAGTCCCAAACATGAGCATGTAAACTATCAAACTCTTGTTTGTGGTCAGAGAAGGCTTTTAAACAACAGATGACAGAACTCTCTCATTGTGTAACTAAGCCATTTTTGCGGAGGGAGGTTGCTCAGAGTCATATTTGCTGACCTTGAGACAGGTGCCGGAAAGAAAAACTAAATTGGTACAAAACTCTAAATTGTAAAAATAAAATTGAGTAGCAACTTCTAGAATAGTTTTGGGATTGTCCCAAGATTCTGGCAAGGGACTACATCAAGTTTGGGAACTTCAGCTTGTTAGTTCTATTTCAACCCTAACAGACTTTTTTTTTTTTTTAAATAAAGTTCAATTTTAATATCAATATAAAAGAATCAGAGAAAATCTACAGATATACCAAAATAAAAAGGCCACAAAATTAACTAAAAACAGACAACCCCTTTTATTAGCAGTTAGTTCACCAGGACATTACATTAGTGACACAGTTTTCTGAACCCAAAATGAGTTCAAGTACAGATTAAAAATACGGGAGACTTTTAAAAATATTCCCTCCCTTTTCCTCCCTCCCACCATGACAAAATAACCCCTACCCTTCCCAATGGGAAAACATACAGAATCTCATGCAAACATGACAAAAGGAATTCCCAGAGTTCTTCCTTTAAAAAAAAACCCAAATAAAAAACAAAAGTGTCCTTCAAATTCAGATTTTACTTAAGTCCTCTGTTAAGTCCAGAGACAGTGGTGTTTTCCAACTATTGCTGACCAACTAAGTGAAAAGGCAAATGTTTGCTCCTCTCTCTAGTGCACATTAAATCACACCAGCATTTGGGAGCTTTTGGGGATACATACTTTTGTTATGCACAACCTAATTTTAATTCTTTTCTGCATGTCTCGCTTTTGGCAGCATCCTACACTATGTAGACTGCTATTTTGAAAAACCAAACGTTAAACATTGTACATCAATTTGTTATTTAAGACTGGGATAATCATAATATTCACAATGAAAACAACCTTTTAGGTAGCAGCTACCATTGCTTCTGTGGACTGCTTTAAAACAACTTCCTGAGGGCCATCATACAGATAGGCAAGACTGTATTTTCACATTATCAAATGCTTAACTTGGTAGTTTGATTCAGGGATCCTGGTGCACAAAGGATGTACAGAGAAACTGCACTCATCAACAGGAGTGAAGGGGGGTGGGTTGTAAATCCCTTGTTCTGAAGTTGATTTTATCCACAAAGGGCAAAGGAAAATATATTGTTTTGCAGATTATAATTTCAGAGTTTTGTTTTTTCATTTCTGCATTGACGTCTACTCAGAAATCTGAAGCCGTAGCAAAATCAACCCAGTACTGGAGCAAGCTTACCATTTCTAATGAATGACCCATATCCCAAATGGACCAATGCAGTCTTTTCATTACCATATTTCAGTGGTCAATTTTTTCTTGATGTTGCGCCTGTTTTACAATGGTTTGGAAAGGACACTGTGTCTTATTTCATAAGGCTGCAGATATCAGATGCCAAAGTCTTGTCATTCCAAGTCTTGTTACTGCATCTTTTCTGCCAATAGCCTCCTTTGACATCCGTGTTTTTCAAACGTGGCGGTGTTTAAAATGCGTGGACTTCCAACTCCCAGAATTCCCCCAGCCAGCCAAGACCGCTGGATGATTTGCAGCAGGAGGGCAAGCTAGATTTGCCAATAGATGCAACTCTGCCTCCTGCCCACCCCCAGCCATATTTATTCTACCTTAAACGATAAATGTCCATCTAATTAGGGGTACTGGGAAGCTTGGGACTCTTTTAACTTTTCAGCACTCTTTGCTTTTAAGTACAGCAAATCTTTTCATACAGAAGGCTGCACGTAAAATACTGCATTAAGAGCGTTCACAAGATAATGTCATCTTCCCACATTTGGTCTTACGCAGGCTTCTGTCTCGAACGTACATTCATTACTGGCATAGCTGCCTAAACAAACGGGGACAACAAACATAATGAAGATGAAAAGGAGTAATCAACTCAGAGAAGAACAATGGTAAGAACTATAAAGAGGGATTGAAAGAATTCATAGTATTAAGATCTAGGGGGATTTAGATTAAGATTTTAAGATTTAGTCTTTAAATCTGAAAACATGTCACGCAGAGACGTGTTATCTCCAATGCAAGACTGCAGGATGCAAAAGAATGGATTAAGGTACCGAAAGGCAAGGTCTGATTATTAGAGGGGAAAACAACTTCCTCCTAATATTCAGAGGAATTTGAATTTCAGTGGAAAAAATTATTTTACTGGTTATCTTCAAGTAGAGGTGAGGCAAGGCAGTCAGCTACTGGACAGGTTTCAGTTTAGATTGCTGCACTAAATAGTTATACACTCAATGGCCTAAAGCTCTCTGCAGCTTTTACTCCATTTTACTCAAATTTTACTCTAGAGTCTATGATGATTTGATGATCCACTAGATGGTGCTCACACACAGGATCAATGGAAACAAATGTGTTGAAGCTATAGCTAGACTGTTTTGCCAGCAATTATAGGCAGTCTAAGATCTAAGTTAAGAAGAAACCTTTTTTTGCTTCTTGCCTTTTGTCCAAATGTTCATTCATGGAACTGGTGCTAGTATGATTACAGCTTTAATGAAAACCAAAACAAGATGACTGGTCGAGCAAATCACCTCCAATAATTAGAAACATTTAAGCAAAACAGGAAGGTATTTGGGAGAAGGGGGCAGAAACCTACCTCCAGATGGAAAAAGCTTGAAAATCTTTTTGATAACCTACTGTTGAATTTATAGTAAATGTTTCCATTAGCAATACTAACAATTTTTTAAAATATCATAACAACTCTCCAACTTTGAATCGAGCAGTAGTCAGACCAGTCGATACTCCAGTGCCTTTAATTCCTCCACTGAGGAATTAAAACGGCTTTTCAAAAGTCTTTGACTCTTGTCATGACCTTTGTTTTCCCAGCCCCCTCTGGACTGCAAGTTTAACATGTCTTTCCTATGACACATCCAATATGTAGCAGGACAGGACAGAATAAGCCAAATGGGGGGGAATGGGTTCTATTTACCTTGTTAATGTAGCTCGAAACACAGACAGCAATGGCCAAGTGTGTATATGTGTGTGTGCATGCATGAATACACAATACTATTAGCAGCATATTTATAAATTCCATACATACACATATACACACAAAGGAATTTAGTAAACTAGAATAAATGGGTTATTGGAAAGTCTCAGTCACAGCTCAATAAGACACATTGGACAGGAGGAAATAATTGAAAAAATGGACAGCCACAGGATTATCCTAAAATGATTCTAACAGAAACAGACATTGTGATGACAAATCAACCAAACCCATGGGGCATTTTTCTCTATCCTCTATAATAGCAAAAGGGTGGGAAAATAAGAACCTAATACTTGGGAATACCAACTCTAATATGTATCCCCTATCCCACTCCAAAATGTTCAAAAAGAAAACTACTAAAATACTGCTCATTCAATACTCATGAAGATCAATTCTCTTAAGTCATATTTAGGATGACCATTAGAGCAAAGTTTACACATAATGCTAGAATGTCATCCTTTTTCAAACAGGCAGGACATGTGCACCAGAAATAAAAAAAAATATTGGATTCAATTACTGAATCTTAAATCACATCTCACATAATTGTAGGTTGAAACCAGAGACAGGGCTATAAGAAGGACACAAATTAAAATATCTCTTTGGAGCAAATTATCTTGCCAACATTGTCAGATGACTATGTTGCTCACTCTTGATCATTCCACCCCTTTCCCAATATATTTGTAAATAAGAAGACAGAAAAAAATCGATCTGGGATAATCTAAATATTGCCAATACCAAAGTCCTCCAAAGTCTTCCATATAAAAACCGAGCATCTGCTTTAACCAAGATCTCTGTTCCAGAACACTATCTCAGTCCTATCTCAGTCTGAGCCCAAATTGCATAATTAGGTCCATGCTTGGAGCATGGCCTCCCTCTGGCTCCATGGTCATATTATCAATCAAGTTCTTTTGCAAACCCATACACGTGCAGGACTATTCTTGATCCCTGGTGAATTCTTGATCCACACGTGTTTCATCTATCCAAAGAGAAGGAGTCATTTTGTTTTAATACTATTCCAGATATTGGAAATAACGTGTGAGGAAAACTCAGATCTTTATTAATCTTCTTCACCAAAAACTGGCATTATAGCCAAGGAGGCACACCTCAATACTTTCAGTAAAGCTGGGGTCTCGAGCAATCTGGCAGAAACAGATGTAATAGTCCTGGCTTGGCCCTGAGCCACTGCTTGTACATCAATTCCAGTAGTTCTTCAGATGGCTGCTTTCTTCCAAGCTTCCAGGTTCGATCATATGGACAGTTTCCCACTTTTCCTCAAACATCTTGAACGGATATTGCTCAAAATGCTTCTTCTCTGTAGAATATCTCACATCTTATCACGTCCTGTTGGCTTGGAGTAGAGGTTTGAGATCCTCCCCATGGATCCATTCTACTATTGCTTAATACAAGAGATAAGAAGTGGCTATCTAGTGTTCTGGAGTTCTTCCCGCAGCCAAGTTGGCAGTGTCTGGCCAATTTTATACAGTAGCTTGGATAACTCTATGTTGTGGTCCCTATAATAATCTCTCAAGAATGCTCTGGACTGCATGAGGAAGAAAGAAAAGAACAAAGAAACATAATTAAATGCTATGATTAAATACAAGATGGTGTTAAAGAGGATAGAGAACCGTGAAATGCATGAATTATTGTGTTTCTCCAAAAATATGACCTACTTAGAAAGTAATTCCTACCTTGGTTTTTACAAGTGTGCCCAATATAAGCCCTACTTCTGAAATAAGCCCTAATTAAGACCTCGCCCATTCCAGGATGCATGGGTAAAAATTAACCTAGGGTGAGGATGGGTGTGTGTGTGGAGCTGCTCTACTACTTACTTTCTGATAGTTGCAGCCAATCCTCGCACATCTCGGCCCATTTCTTTTGCTGTAGCCAGCAAAGCTTTCCTGAAGGCCTCTCCAGCTGATAACAGAGTTCCGGATTGGCTAGAGAGGCCTTCAGGAAAGCCTTGGTTTTTTTGCCAGCCAAAGAAGTTCCTGAAGGCCTCTGAGAAGTCCGGGGGGTGATGTATGCAAGTGAGGTGAGTCAGTGGATGACACACACACACACTGCCAAAATAAGACCTGGTATCTTTTTGAAGCCACAGGAGACATCTCCACTAGCTGCCAACCAGGGCTATCCTTACAGGAACCACAACAGAGTGCAGCAAGGGTAACTTCACTGCTCTGAAAGCTGCAGAACGCAATATATTAATGTTATCATAGCTTTTTCTCTAAAATAAGTGGTTGTATTATAATTCACAAAAATGTCGGTAGCTCTGAAATGGAAGTTACTATCCAATCTGAAGACTGAGGAAACACTATATGGCAAGTATGAGTATATACCTGAGGGTATCTGAACATTCTACTTGTTTATTTCGGTGGTGGTTGTTCTCCAGGCCCTCTGCCTTAAATGTTGCCATCTGATGGGAACTCTTGGTGGCTGCCCCAACCCTTTGGAACAGCCTCCCACCTGAGATTTGATAGATCTCTATCCTTACATTTCCAGCGGGATATGAAAACCTGGCTCTTCGCCCAAGCATAGGATGGGGAGGGGTTGAGCTGCAAGGAAAATTGGTCTGATGTCTGGGAGAAGAGTAGTTTTGCTTTTAACCATGTTTTATCGGTGGTTATCAATTGACTAGGGTCATGGTATGAGATAAGCAACCATCTAAGTCCTGTAAGTAAATAAGTAAAAGTTCAAACAGAATCAAGGCAGGCACCTGAATCAAAATGGATTGCTTTCAACTTGGATTTAACACATAAATTATGGAGGATTCCTTGTCTTTCAACATAAAATAGTTATAATCATACAACTGCAAAATGTAAGATGATTCCAAAGCATTATTCTATAGGGGTGAAAGTCAGCTTTTGGTAAGTAATATAAGAAAAGATCAAAGGCCCACATGTTATGTTGATTTAATCACCTGTATTCTTCTCCCCATATGCTTACAAGACTTCAAATTTAGGGTCTATTTACTATAAGCATCATAGAAACAGCATCAGCTATGCTGAGATCTTATCCTTCAGCAGGGTAAGGATTCAAGAACCATCCTAGCAAAGCTAATATGTTCAGTCTAACTGCCCAACTGGGAAAGCATCGTGAGAAATGCCTAATAGGACCACATCTTATCTTGCAACAGTTTGTGAACAATGACTGTGGGGAGAAATCTAAACGACTGCGGCACATGTGTTTCAAAAATGCATAGCCTTCCTGCAGTGGCATTGAATCTCAACATGGAGAGGAAACAGTTTTCATTGAGTACATAGCAAAGGTTAGTGGGGTTTCTGTCCTTACAAAATCAGATCAGCTGGCTACCCGGCGCAAAACTGTGCCAGTATCTTCTAAGAACAGCACGTGAAAAATGCCCTCATTTTACATACTTACATCTAAATCCATCTCTGGGTATTTTCTTCCTTTGCTTTTACCCAAGCACTTGGTCTTCCCTCCCTCTAATAGTTGGCACCAAAATCCTTTTTTGAGATCAAACCTATCACAAATTACAAAGAAGATGATATCCAAATGATCCCCATTTTGTAGCTGGAATTACTTATTTTATACATGCAGTAATTACATATAATTAAATATGGAAACCAACTTTCCTGATCAAAATGACATCCGTTTAATCAAACAAATGGAATGACCATATCACACTATTACTCTGTTACAAAATTCAATAGCAGTAGAAGAGAAATAAATTTGTCTCCTTTCACATCTCTCTGCTTATCTATTAATTCCAATGTTTTTAAATGCATTGTGCAGTGGTCCTGTAGCTAGGTATAAATGGCTTCTTGTCCTAAATTTAGATAACACGCATACACACACACACACACACACACACACACACACACAATTAAAATGTGTCTTTAAGTAATGCACTAGGAATTGTACTAGCCAGAAAAGTAATGAGACATGGAGAAGTGAGTATGGTTATCCTTTCCCCTCCTCTCCCTTTCCTTGCTCCCCTCCCTCCCCTCCTCCTAATTTGTTTCTCTGCAAGAATTCAGATTCACATGTTTTAAACTCTACCAGGGAAGAAACTCCTTGTGAAAGGGTTTGCAAGAAGGGAAACAGGGAAATTGACCCCTGAAACACATTACCCGGAATGAAGATAGAAAAGATTATTTCCCTATTACAGTGATGGCTAACCTTTTCAGAGCCCATCCCCAAAATGCGACGCACACGTACGCCCTGCGCATGCAACCTGCCCCCACACATGCGCGACTCCCTGCACCCCCATGCATGCGCTCGTGATCCTGAAATGCATGCATGACCCCCCCTTCCGTGCACCCTGCCCTCCCATATATGCGCGTGACCTCTGCGTGCACCCTGCCCCCTGTGCATGCACGGCAGAGACTCGAAGACCAGCTGGCCAGCACACATGCACATGCATGGCAGCGCTGAGCTGGCACAACGGCTCACGTGCCCAGAGAGAGGGCTCTGCGTGCCACCTCTAGCACGCACGCCATAGGTTCGCCATCACGGCCCTATTACATACATATTAATATAATATGTAGTTGAAAGAAAACACTGTGTTCTGTTGTGGCCAATCAGTCATCCATGGACCACAAGATATGTTTAATGGTTTGTGCATTTGCTACAGAAAAAAATTATTTAATATTCTGCATTTTATTGCTACTGTAGCCAGAGTAGAACATAGTCTTATTATTAACCATGACAGTCTACTATAATCATTTGCGATGAAGAGTTTCAAAGCTTCAGAGCAGTCTTGATGTCTGCAAAATGAAAGGAAGCCAATTCTACAGTTCCTCAAACAAAACCAGCTCTTCAGTATCATCTCGATAGGGGAAAAAATGCACGCAGTGCAAGGGATACAAGCAAGTAGGATCCAATGCTGACAATAGATTCAAAGATTATATTAAACAAAAGCAGTTATGATGAACTCACGCTAAAGTTTTATGATAATCTATGGTGTTTGTCACTCCAAGAAATTTCTGAACTGTTTCCATTACTTTGGCTGGTTCTGTGCGTAGTCGCTTGCCATCCAGAACAAGAATCTGAAAGACATTTTTAAACACATATATATGTTACGTTCCTCCCTTATACTAAACATACACCCTCCTAACTGCAATATATAGCATCAGGAACAGAGACAGTTTCGCTCCTCAGAGTTAGTAATAGAGCAAATCAAAATAATAAATCCACTTCTCCTGTTTTTTCTAGAACAGGACTGTGAGAATTCGTATTTTATTTCTATTATATCCTAACTCGAAAGCACAGGAGAGGCAAATAGTATAAGAAAGCTATACACTGCTTTAACTTAGTGAAGAAGTATTTCTAAAATAGTACCATAATGGACACACATATGGTCCCTCAATGACCTACCCATCTATTTTGCAACCTCCACTAAAATTTGTTAACTAAATGTCAGAATAAAAATTGCAAATGCAAAATATATATATATATATATATATATATTGCGCAATTCCTAGCTTCTTCAACTTTATAAATTTAAGTTTCGGCCAAAACCATCCCAGACGCTTCCTCTCTCAAATAAAAGTCTGCATTTATTTATTCGATTTATCTCCTGCCTTCCATCCCGGAGTTCAAGCTGATCATATCTCATCCCAGTTTACCCTACAGCAATCCTGTGAAATAGGTTGGGCTGACAGAAAGTGACTAATCTAAAATCATCCAGTGAAGAATTTCCTTGGCTGAGAGTGGACTTAAGCTTGATTTCCTAAGTGCCAATCTAACTTCTTAATCTCTACACACCACAGCAGCTTTCTCATATTTATATATGTCTCATATGTCTCACACACACACACCTGTCAGAAGCCACACCAGAATAAAAAAGTTATAATAGATTAAGATTTATTAATGGTACTGCATTTGAAAAAAAAAAAGTAATGCCCATCAGCATACGCAAACTATACATTTAGAAATAAAAGAAGTAGGTATACATACACTCCATCCTTCCAGAGATAACAGCCAAAAAGAGATGGAGGGAAAGAAATAAACAGGGTGAACAGGGGTTATGGGGAAGGGACCTTTAAGAACCTTCCAGATTTATTCAAATCCTCCTGACGGAAACAAACCAGGAAGCTTCTTAAAATTTTTAATCTAGATCATACTAGATCATTTCCCACAATATAAATATTTTAACATGGACATCTCAAGTGATAAGATGGAGCACTTCCATCATTACAGCTCACAATTGATGGTGCTAGCAAGCTACTTAAATTAAAACTATTTGTTATTGTTGATGACAAGCACATCCTTTCCAGTGTCAAAATAAAAGGCTTTGCACCAGAACCAATTATTAGTTACAGCCTCCAATCAACATAAGTAATATGTTGTGTACTAAGACAGACTTAATGTTAATCTTCTTAGCAGACTGAACCCATATTGGCTCAGGGGTTCTGGGAGTTGAAGTCCACAGGTCGTAAAGGTCCTATAATTGTCCACCTCTGTCAAAAAACTCGATACCCCATGCTTATTGATTAAATTTCAGATCCCAAAGAAACTTTACATGCTTTCTTGTTTTTTGTCCAAAAGATTTTCAGTAAAATCCTAAATTCAGTGAGGTTTATTTTAGCCAACTCTTCTGAGCTAGACTATTTATTATGTCATTAGTTTTGAACTGTTTTGTACTTTATTAAGGCACTTCTGCATAGGTTTTTGAACCACTCCAGCTGGGTTCTCATGTTACAATGTGGATTCAACATCTGAGTTAATTTATTTCTATCTCATCTGCAAGGACCCCAAATCACTAAAATTAGGCACTTTGTTTTGTCACCATGCAAAGACCTGCAGAATTTGCTTTCTCATTGTTAGGAATGTGTTAGGTGCCAGAGAAATCAGGAGATCCAGGTAGTTCAGATGAATATAAAGTTTTATTATAAGCTTAAGTTACCTACAAAAATCTGAACTACTAATGGTCAAAGCAATTTCGCAGTAGATAAGGAATTCCCGATGAACTTAAATCTCTTGTGGGCATGAAGGGACTCATGACTGATGACACATTTGACCCCTCCCCCGGGCTCAGCCTGGTTGTCTCTTACAGAATGCCTGTTTCTCCCTCTCCTAGCTACTGAGTGTCAGGCAGCACGTATTCATTTTTGGAGGGGAAAACTAGCTTGTTGGTCTTAGATATCCTATTATGTTATTACCATATTTTTTCCCATACACTTTCACTGCATACATCACACCCGAGTGGTCCTTGATGCTCTCTGAGCTTCCTTGTTTTCTTGCAGATGTTTCATCATAGGTAACATCATCAGTGCTAGTAAGGAGTGCTTCTTACTAGCACTGATGATGTTACCTAGTTAGGGCAATGAAATGTCTGCAAGAAATCAAGCAAGCTCAGAGAGCACCAAGGACCCCTCATTTCAACCCTGAGCTACAAATATTCTCCTGTATTGGTATAATTTCACCTACTGTATGGTTGTATGCAAAATGAAGCAATGACAGAACAAATATGTGAGCAGCCAGGCTGCTTCATGTTTTTTCCCTTAGCAACTGTTTCATGCACAAAAAGGTGCTAGCAATTTACTTTGAGGTTTCTTCCCTTTCATGGGAAATGAAAAAGGAGATTTCTGTTGTTCCACAACTGTGTGTTTGCTGCTCCCACACGAGCAACCATCAGTGTCTTGCTCGTCATGTATTAATATATAAACACACACACACACACACACATATATATATATAGCTTCAGTAAAATAAATATATATATATATTCTTAAGTTTTCGCGAGTACTTACATGTATGGTATTCAGCTTTGTTCGGGTATTTTCCCACGTCATTGTAGTTGTGCTTTTAAAGTTGTAGCAACGTTTCGGCAGAATCTCATCTGCCATCATCAGGCTTCTGTATTGTGTTCTATATTGTGAACACAATACAGAAGCCTGATGATGGCAGATGAGATTCTGCCGAAACGTTGCTACAACTTTAAAAGCACAACTACAATGACGTGGGAAAATACCTGAGCAATGCTGAATACCATACATACATACATACATACATATTGCTGAGAAAATGCCAGATTGCTTTCAAAATGCAATCGTGGCATATGTTTTTAACTGAGAATATTTGTGGAGCTCGCTTGCTTGGCTTTACTCTACACAAGATCTTTGAAAGATGTTCTAGAGGCGAGATCCACCCCCACCCTCTTGACTTTCTGAAGGACCTTCAAATCCTGGATCTGCAGACTGGCTTGGGCGCTGATGGATGTGTGTGGGGGGGGGGGAGTTTCCATGCTGGAAGTGGCTAATGGACTAAGAAGATCCCACCGCCATCCCACCCATGTTCCAGTTCCCAGTTTACCCAATTTCTGTTAATTTTAATTCTTTTAATATTTTTACATTCTTGTTTTTATCTGTTGCAAGCCATCCAGAGCTGCTCGGTGTGAGATGGACGGTATATAAATTGAATTGAATGAATGAATGAATGAACCAGAATATTACCTGTCTTTGATAAATTGCTTACTATCTCCATGACTGTAAACTTGGCCTACATATACAGTATACTGACTCTAAATTGCAATACTGACTGCAGTTGTCACAGGATGGAATAACAGTCTGCTTTTTTAAGTACTGTATCTACCCACAAAGGAGATCTGCATTTTGTGGCCAGAAGCAGGATTTTTTGGAAATGTTCACCATGTCATTAATGGATTTCCTTCTTAATGTTATAAAAACCATGAAGATAATGTTAGAGTAATAGGATTTTTAATCTATCCTGACATTGGATAGCTGACAAACTACACAGCTGCATCTCTCAGTCCCTTGACTTCAAAATAAGTATGGTGAATTTTTTGCTGCCCTATTCCCAACCAATCTCGCAGGATAACAATATTACCATTGGAAGGAACTAAGTGTTTCATCCAATTCTCAGGGAACCTCTTTACAGACTTTTCAGAGCAAAATAAGTGAATTCCAACATTCCAGAAAACATATGCATTTTCTACACTGAATATATGGTTGTATACAGAAACATTCTGCTTCATAAAATCCTCTCTCTGTTTTGTTCTTTGAGAAGGAAAAAACTAAAGATTCGTGACTTGCTTACCTGATTGGCATGGAAATTATTCAACCAGCGTTCAATATGGGTAGCATACCAGCCTGGTACTAGGCAACGGTTCTGTAAGGTCCGAAGCTTCTGAGAGGCCTCAGGTCCAGCTGTAATTACCTCATGAAAGGTGTACTTCAGAGCAACTGTATCATCATGTGCCCGTTGATGCTATCAAGAAAAGAAACAAATTTTGAGAGCCCTCTGCTGAACAGCAACAAGAGACAGTCAAAGAAGCAGACAGGAAACAAGAAAGAGGAAAATGGAGGAAGGAGAGGAAAACACAAATAGAGAAACAGGCAGCAATTAGGGAACACATTAGGGCTACGTGTGGTCAATGACAAACTGAGGTAATAGAATCTAGAAAGTTGAATTCTAATGGTAAAGGGAAATTGTTGTTTCAGAGAGCCCTGCAGACTGGTGGGCAGGTAGAAGAGCTTCTCTAAAGACATAAGAGCTGCTGTTATTGCATTTAATAGCTACGTTGCCTTTCACTAATGAACAGTGCTTTAGGTCAAGAAGACAACACCACTATGGAGCAGCTTACCTGATACCAAGAGTAGGCCCGATCTGCAGGATTGATGAGGATGGTGATTATTTTTGCCTTGGAAAGCAGTGCAGCAGCCCGCCTTGGTGTGACTTCTGAATCAAAGTAATTGGCACTCTTCTCAAAATAGAAATCAGATGTAGTGTTGGAAGGAATGGGGAAAAACTCCATATACCTTAAAAAAAATAGCAGCAGCAGAAAGGGAAAAATAGATTGGGTGAAGCAATGCAGAAATAGTTTCGGGTTCTTACTCAATGTCAATTGTTTATGCCACTTTAAACAGAACAAGGATTAAGACACATCAAAGGTTTCTTTTCAGCCCCAAACCGTATTAGTCAAGACATTCATTAGAATGTAGCTGGTTTTAGAACTTAAGCCTGAACAACCAATGAAGCATTCTTCTGGATCAAAGAATTAATAGACTGCAATTTATTACATTTATGGAAAAGATTAAGCATACGGCAAATGCAGCATGAACTACTGAACAGAAGACAAAACAGACCAGCTGTTGATCCTCATTCTTCTCAAGCAGACAGACAGGAATAAACGGTACATTTTTAGAAAAGAGGGGGAAATGTTACAACAGACATTAAACACAAAACCCGGTTTTCCTCATTCATATTTTAGTCCAGTAGAATTAACACAGGTTTGTAGGGCATCACTGCAGTAACACGGTACAGGAATCAGATAGAATGTGTGTAACAATTCTGTCTTTCAAGCTTACCGAGATCGTCTGCTGACAAAGTAGAACAAGCAACTTGCTTCTGGCCTTTGAAATATCTTACCCCTGGAGGTGAGATCAGCTCCCACCCTTCTGACTTTCCATAAGAGCCTTACAGTAGGTCCTACCAAATGGCTTCGGGTACCAACAGGGGATATCACACTGGAGGTGGTTGATCAATTAAGAATCAATCCTCCCTCCTTTCCACCCCCCCCCCCCCCCCATTGCATCTGGCTCTCTCCGTCCCCATCTTGTAATTATAATTTTACTTTGATTGTACTTTATTTTATTGTGTTAGGAATATTTACTTCTGATTTTAATGTTTTTATGCTATAAGCTGCCCAGAGCCTCTTCGAAATGAGATGGATGCCAAATAAAATTAAATAACTAAATAAATCATAAGAACTAAATATGTATATTTCTTCCACAAATCTAAATCCAAAGGGAAGTTTGTCTCTTTCTTGCTAGGTATCTGGTTTTCAAAACATTCCAGCAACATAGATTAGAATTGCAAAACTGTTTCTTTATTCCTTTGCAGTATCATTATGAGCCAAAATATAAGTGGAAGGGGCAGGTCCTCATCCACCCACCCAGCACAAAAATTGAGAATGAGGCCTACCAGTCAATGCCCTTGTGATAATTATGTCCATTGAAGAACTGGATCTCTTCAAAGGTCTCCGAGCTGGGATAGTTACTGCTCAAGTCAGCGTGCATCCCCAGGAAGAGATAGAGGGCAGTGGTACCTTTTCAAGGAAGAAGAGAAGAAATGGGGCAGGGGGACAAAGAGCTAAAAATCACTTTTCTACCAAGCTTCTGACAGAACTTTACACTCTCGATCACTGTTTCTCAACCTCAACGAGTGTGTGGATTTCAATTCCTGGCATTCTCTGGCCAGCATATTGGATTGAAAAATTTGGGATTAAACTCCACAGACTTTAAGGTTGCTGAAGCTGAGAAACACTGATCTAGATTATTCCAGGGATAAGCGGATTTGATATGTTCAGTCCTCAATAAAAATGTTGAAAACCAACGATTACCTCAGTACATTTCTTAATTACGGCATACATGATATTTTATCCTACTGCATGGCCTTTTAAACAGATATCATTTTACACACAGGCTGTGATATAAAGCCTGAGACTTTAACTTATATTTCCTATTTCTGTCAGCCTTACAGACTTAGCCTGTAAATATTATCAGATTTCAACTGTATTAAATGTTTTTGGCAGTTGCTTCTCCAACTCTGACGAGGAATTATATTGCTGTTGTAAAAATAATCTCTCTCTTAAAAAAAACAGGGTAAAAAGGTTTTTCTTTTTAAAAAATTGTTCGTTTCCTATGTTGAACCGTAAACACTTACAGATGATGACAAATGGCACCAACAATAACTGTTCAATAACGGTTCAAATTTTACTCACCATTGCTTGAAACAGCCACTCTCCTTACCCTGACAGTAAGTTGAAGACTATTACGCCACTTATTCTAATACGCCTTAAAATGATTTGTTAAGTTTTGGGGTAGTGGATTGCACATGCTCAGTCAATTGGGGTTTAGTTCATATATTATGGTTTTAAATGATACTGTAATGTAATCATTGTGATAATATATTTCAGCAATATAGCATACACCAGTTACTACTATACCTGTCTTCTGAGGACCAATAATTAGCAGCTTGGGGAACCGGTCGCAGGTCTTCTCTTTGGACCAAATATCCTTGTGGCGCTTGTCCTCACAAGGATCCTAAAATATCATCAACATGCTGGAATCAGCCAGGCCATCCACAGGAACAGGATTTTTATAGCCCAACTGTTCTTACTGAAGAAGTCTCTCAAAAGCCAGCAATTTCAAGGACAGGTAGTCCTTGACTTACCACCATTCATTTAGTGACTGTCTGAAGTTAAAACAGCATTGTAAAATGTGACGTATGACTGCTGTAGCATCCCTGTGTCATGTGATCAAATTTGGGGCACTTGGCAACTGGCATGTATTTATGACACTTACGGTGTCCCGGCTCATGTGATCCCCAATTGTAACCTTCCCAGCTGGCTTCCACCAAGCAAAGACAATGGGAGAAGCCCAGATTTGCTTAACAACTGTATGCTTCGCTTAGCAACTGCAATGATGCACTCAACAACTGTGGTTAAAAAAAAAAAGTCATACTTAACAACTGCCTTACTTAGCAACAGAAATTTTGGGCTCAATTGTGGTCATAAGTCATAAGTAATAGAAGGAAGATATCATTAAGTAAGAAAAGGAAGATATCATCTTTTACTTTGCTACTATACTGAGTTTGCTCCGTACTTTGGAAGTTATTGTTTTGTTCTGTTTTACTTTCACTCTCTTAAAAAAAAATACATTTTTTTCAAAACCAGGATTTCTTCTCCAGGGGGACAATTTTATAATCTATAATTATCAGAAAACCTTTTTTTGTAAACAGATGTCCAATTGAAAGAAGTGACCAGATGAGATGTGTTGCTCACTGGATAGAAAGAAGCAAATCCAGACACTACACATTTCACAGAATGTTATTTCACATCTGCCACTCTTCCTGGGGAGTATTATGTATCCTACTGGTCTAAGACCGCAATTAACCGAATTGAGTATTATATAACCGGCAACTACTTGCCCAGATTTTCAAACCAAGAAAGAGACAAAACAATAAAGCACAGTGGAAATTTTTTGCAACGCAGGCCCAGGGAGGCCGTGAATGCACACCTGCCAAAGGGGGTCTTTTTCTTCAGAGAATATCTGGAAATACTTCTGTGCCAGCTGCACAGGTGGCAACGTCTGTAACTTCAAGTTAGTCCAGGAGTTCAGAAATCGGACCAAATGCCTAAAGGTATACAAACCCAGGCGGTCATTTCCATAATTGGAGAGGTGGGTCATAAAGATACTGATCTGTGCAGGACAGGAAAGAAGAAAGGGGGGGGGGGGGGGGGGGAGACACACATAGATTGGAAAGATTACAGTAGTATTCAGGGAATTTTTTGTAGTAAAATACTAAACCTTCATTTGCAGATGAACAAAACATGCAGATGAACTAACTAAACACCACAAAAATGCTTTCCTGCATTAAGGGCCACCATGTTTCTATCCCCTATTGCAGGGGGTCAGCAATCTGCAGCTCTGGAGCCGCATGTGGCTCTTTCATCCCTCTGCTGTGGCTCCCTGCTACCAATCGGCTCCACAATTGACAGGGCTTTTGGTTAGGACAGGTAGAGGAAAAAGGACGCTGTGCTAGGAGGAGACTCTATGGGAGAGGGGGGAACCACCATAGAGTCTGGTCGGCTCCAGAATTAAACGGGGGCTTCCGGTTGGGACCTTTGTGATTCTTTGAGTGTTTAAGGTTGCCAACCCCTGCCCTATCCAAACATCCCACAGAAGTTTTATCTAGCCATGATGGAGGAGAAAAAATCTTTATATTTAAGATAAGAAGTAAACTTTCAATAATAGAAGTTACATCTTCTGTTAATTCAGTTTAATTAAAAAAAAAGATTCTCCTTACTATTTACCTACCATATTTTCTACAAAGAACATATCTGGGAGACATTTCTGCCCTTTTAAAAATATCCAAGCTGATTGGCACACCTTGTGGCAATATATTCCATAAGTGGATTAAATGCTAAGTCAGAAAATGCTTTCATTTATTCTAAATTTACTTCCCAACTTCAGTCAGTTTCTCCCCAGTTCTAATTTCTGTTAACTTCAGGAAAAAACGTTTACTTGACAGCACTCATAATTGTGCCCACTTAATATATTTCACTGTGTTCATACCATGTAATAAACTTTGACCAGGCAATTATCCAAGTGATATTACTATTTATGGCTCTTGTTGAACTCTTATGCCTAAGCCCTTTCAACTTCTTAATCACTTCTAAATTATATTTATCTATCCATTCACCCAAACGCATGCACGCACGCACACACACTGTCTCTCCTACATATACATACTTTTCTGAAAATTATTCAGCTCTAGAATTTATCAACTCCAGAACCTTTCAGTAGCTAATTGGTTTTTTAACTTAATCATTCTATTTATATCCTGCCTTTTCTTTGCTGCAAGAATTCCAGTCCATTGGTCCTTGAAATAATACTTACGGGATTAAGGAGAACAGTCAGAAAAAGCTCGCCTCCATTGATGATTTTATCCAATTCACTCGAGCCACCTGGGTATTCATTATAGAATATGGTATGTGTAAATAATCCACAAGTTTGCCGTGGGAGAACCTAGCAAGAAATTTTAGGGGAGGGGGAGGGGGGACGGACAAGTAGCAAATTAAAAAGAATCTAAAATCCACTGGGCTATTTCTTACAAATCCCAGATAAATCATTCAAGGTTAAGAATGAGTTGCAGATAATTTGGCCAATAATGCCTCAATATGCACTGCCATCTTCTTATGATTATTGTATGCTGCTTAATTTCACTCTGCACCACTTTTCCCCAAAACATACAGGACCATGGGGCACGTAGGTCTAAAGTGTCTCTCTGCAGAAATCAGTCTACTCAACAGCTCTCCCACAAATTCATCCCGTCAGATTTAGAAAGTCAGCATTAATTCCTTCCATTTGGATATTGAGATCTAGTTTTCAAGGCTTCTAAAACCAAACCTCCTACTGTTTTGTATTCACTTGTTACTGACTTTGGAGGTGAAGAAGTTTTTTAGTAAGGGTGGAATTGATCCTGTAATTAGGGTTCATATTTTCACACATAAATACAGCCATTCATATAAGTGCATAACGGTTCTTTCTTTCCTTTCCTTCTCCCTTCCTTCCTTTCTCAAGGAGTGAAGCAACCTAGAAGAGAAATTTCTTGATAGTTAGAACAATTAATAAGTGGAGCAATTTGCCTCTAGAAGTTGTGGATGCTTCCACACAGGAAGTTTTTAAGAAGAGACTGGACAACCATTTGTCTGAAATAGCATAGGGTTTCCTGCCTCAGCAGGGGATTGGACTAGAAAATCTCCAAGATCCCTTCCAATTCTGTAATTCTTTTCTTTCTCTCTCTCTTTCTTTCTTTCTTTCTTTCTTTCTTTCTTTCTTTCTTTCTTTCTTTCTTTCTTTCTTTCTTTCTTTCTTTCTTTCTTTCCTTTCTTTCTTTTTCTTCTCTTTCTCTTTCTTTTCTCTCTCTCTCTCTCTCTCTCTCTCTCTCTCTCTCTCTCTCTCTCT